TAGGCTAGGTAGCAGGGTCGCCGCTTCTCTCGGTACTTCTCCATCAGCTGTCTGGCGATGAAGATGGCATCAGTGGTGGACCTTTCGGGCATGAAGCCGAACTGTTCCTGCGAGATAGGGACAAGTTCCCTCAGCCTAGTGTTGACCAGGCGCTCGTACAGCTTCATGGTATGGGGAGTCAACTTGATGCCGCGGTAGTTGGAGCACTCCGTCGCGTCCCCTTTCTGTTTGAAGATGGGGACGATTGTGCTGCTCCTCCACGCATCTGGCATCCTTCCTTCAGCCGTTACATTGTTTAGGAAGTCTGTTAGCCAACTCACCCCAAGCTCTCCCAGGGCCTTCCATGCCTCTATCGGTACGTCTGGACCCACTGCTTTCCCAACTTTCATTCTCCCTAGCTCCCGGCGGACTTCATCCTTCGTCCAGGGAGTGATGGGACCTGCCGTCGCCTCTATCTGTGGGCTATCCTTGCGGGGAATTCTTCGTTCAGAAGTCCCTCGAAGTATTCTTCCCACCTCTTTCTGACTTCGGCTGGTTTCCTGAGAATGGCCCCGTTGCTGCTCTTCACAGTCTTTACGACCCTGATGTCCTGAGCCGCGCGATGCCGAGCTTTAGCCAGGCGGAAGACGAACTTGTCCCCTTCTCGGCCTTCCAGCTTGTCGTACAGGGCGTCCATTTCCGTATTCTTGGCCTTAGCAACGGCTGCCTTGGCGAGTCGCTTGCAGCTCTTGTAGGCAGCGTAGTCTTCTGGGCTCCGTGTCTTTTGCCAGCGTTTGTATGCTTCCTTCTTCTGCTTGACGATCCTCTGGACTTCCTCGTTCCAGAACCAGGCTGCCTTGTCTCCTCTGATACCACCTCGCGTCTCTCCCAGGACTTCCTTTTGCACACTGTAGGATGACCTCTACTGCGTGGGTCCAGGTGTCCTGGACTGGCCCATGTGGGTCTGGGAGCCCAGCCTCCAGTATTCTTCGGCCGAGGCTATCCTTTTCTACCTTGCCCATTTTCCACCACCGAATTCTCGCTCTGCTCTCACCCTTGTCTTCTTGGGGAGGTCTATGGCGATGTCTGCCAGGAGAGGCCTGTGCTGAGGGCCCAGCTCTTCCCCAGGCAGTACCTTGATATCCTTGACGGTTTTGAGAGACGATCTTCTGACCAGGACATGGTCGATTTCCGTTTGTCTCCCTCCACTGCTGTAGGTTATCTTCTGAGTCCTCCTTTCCGTTCTGAGTTCCTTTAGGAGAACGTGCTACAGATTGCTAAGTCGTGGGCTGTGGCTAGGTCAAGGATCCGTTCTCCCTCAGCGTTCTTTGCCCTATTCCTTGGCCTCCGTGCACCCTTTCTAGACCCCTTCTGTCACTTCCCACATGGCCATTCAGATCCCCAGCTATGGTGAGGTAGTCATCTTCCGGAACCGATCTTATGGCCTCGTCCAGGGTCAGGTAGAACTCATCCTTTTCCGCTCGGAGCAACCGGATTGTGGTGCGTACAGTACTGTCCAGTACCCCTCCTTCGTGTCCATTCTCACTCCCATGATCCGATCACTGATCCTGTTCACAGAGGAGACGCAGTCCTTGAGGGATTCTGCCACCGCTATGGCCACGCCATTCCGTTTGGTGTCTGCTCCATTGTAGAAGAGTTTGACACCTTCTCCAATCTCGCGGGCCTTCGCACCCTTCCATCGCGTTTCCTGAAGGCATAGGACTTGGATATTCCTGCGTCTCATGAGGTCGGCAACCTCACGAGACTTCCCGGTAAGCGACCCCACGTTCAGGGTCCCAATTCGAACTAGCTTCTTTGGCCGAGGTCGTTCACCCCTCGGTAGCCCTCGCATACTGACCACAGAACTCGGGCGAGGGTTCTGCGCGCCACCGGGTGACGTCCTAGCTTTAACACTGATTCTATTGCGACTTGTCATGATTGTTGTGACGGGTTCCTCCATCAGCCGGCCTGTCAACCTGGGCCTGACGCTGGTATCGTCCCCATTTTTGCAATTTTTGCAAGGCAGGTTTGTGCCTTCGGCAGGGATCGTACATGGGTGTGAACATGTGTGAACACATCTTAATCACTCGGCTATCCCTACCTTCACGCGAACGCCCAATCGTTCCCAGGATCACCACTGTACCTATCACTTATTGTTGTTCTCTACCACTGAGTGTGTGTTTCGCTGCGTGATCTTGGTATCGAGCGCTTCTCATTAAGGGGGAGAGCAATACAATTGTAATTTGCAATGCAGTCGCGCGCGGAGCATCGTGCGGCGATGAGCGGAAAAGTCTCGGCTAGCTTTGTGGCGAAACGACATCTAAATCCCTGAGATGAGGTAGGCGTGGCTGCGTACTTCAACTAAACGTCGTGGTGGCTGTGCTTTTGGAAAGACATTTTCATTTTGACCCAAATGTGGTCACGTCTTTTTCCAACAAAGAACAAGATGGCGCTTTCATTGGCTGTTTGTGATTTTCCTGTTTCACATGTGCTATTTATCATTTTTAGCGCCACCGCTGATTTTGGGCAATCTGAACATCAAAGGGCGTGTGTGGGGAGGGAGTCACCCCCCTCCCCTCCCAGGTTCTGCTCAGCAGAGCGCTAAGTGGCGCTCGAAAAATAGTGCCATAGTGTCGCTGTTTTCCTTGAATCATAAGCAGATGGCTCTCCTTCCATTATGTTTCCTTATCACGACACCGATCTGTCCGTGGACGCGAAAAACAGAAAGATCCCAGCCATCAGCTGCCCTTTCATCGTACTCTCGGAATCCATGAGATGCGGTAGGCGTTCTGAAATATCTCACGAGTAACCTAACCTAGGCCATGTTCAATTGTCACGCTTACTCCGTCTAGAGAGAAGGAGCGTATGTTGTGCTACGCTTCTGTTGACCACCTCTACTGAGCATTTCGCACAGGTGATGCCTGTTGGTCTTGTCTCCTTTTTAGCCATGGCAAGTGTTATCATCATAAGAACATTGATACCTCGGCCCCGATTGATTTGCTGCTTTACAAGCCGTCTTTTTCTGCTATCAATTTCCTTATCACCTCCCGATGCATTTTGCGAACGGGCAGACATATGTACTTACATCGGGACGTCCAACTGTTCGGGAAAATTTCAGCAAACTACGTCCCCCATCATTATTTCCTCCTGTGGTACGACCCCATCCCTCCTTCACTCCCCATCCTATCTTCCATCTTCCTGAATTCCGAACTTCCTACCAAGTTTCCCTATTTCCAAAAAGAACCTCGACTTTTTCCGCAGAAAACTTCCCTAGAGCAGCGTGAAGAAGAAGAGGGGGCAGGTAGAGCTCACTTCATGATGAGAAACCGAGGGAAGTCAACAACCCAAAAAGGTCTTTTTCAGAGGCAAGTGCGGCACCCATCCCCTTCTCCTATAGGGCAACTTAAAGATAAGGGATGTTGTACGCATTCTACTTCCATTTGAAATCGTAGCGGTTTATTGAATGCGGTGTGGCCTATATAATGATTTGAAGGGACTTCTCGATCTATTGGGTCAGTAAGTAATGGCGTTTTTCTCTCACTCGAAATATCGCGCTATGAAGTTTTGCCATTGAGCTCTATAATGTTTTGCAGAAAATTTTTCGCCCTATACAATAGTCCACTCGGTTTTTCTGAATTTCCTCTTCCCAATAGTACTTAAGTGCGCAATCTGGAGTGACAGGTCGTCGAAATCGACATTTTCGGCAGCGTCCCTATTTCACCGTCATTAAAAAGTTGAAGCCGTCAGGCCCTGTTGCTAAGTATATGGCCATGAGGCTATGTCTCTTAGGAATGCTTACAACTGTTTTACCCGATTCGAAGATTTCAATTTTGACCTCACAGACAAGCATCGAACCTAATGCCCTATTGAGTCCAACTGAGAGCTTACTGAATTACCTTATTTACGGAGATTCATGCCAAAGATTGAGGAATCGTTAGAGGTCATGGAATGCTTCCTTATCATTGTCAAGCACCACCCTTAGTTGATGTTAGACGTTCAAAAGTTAGGGGGTCTTGCAGGCAGTCGCTCTGCAAGGGAGCGCCCCGTGGGATTCACATTTACAAGGTCCGAAATTTCACTTCTTGATCACTTGAACTAACTTCAAGCTGTCATAAGAAGCGTCACTCCTTGGCCATATGTGTCACAAGTTTTGAGCTTCTTCTGTGATTTGAGAGCCGAGATAAACTGCAAAAAGCTGTTGTCGAAAACTCACTTTTGGGTTGACTCGACTTTTCATTTCAATGGAATAAAAATCGACAAAAATCAAGAAACAGTAGGAAGGCAACCATACTATCTTATAGAGCAGAAAATTATCTATCAAACAATGTAGAACATATTGGGAAAATTATCATTTTCCATATAAAAATTTGCGTGAGAAAAAACGCCATTACTTATGGGCCAACCCAATACATTCGGTGATTCTACCCTTCCAGACTAATCTGGTACTGTGGTTGGCCTGGGCGGTAGCCGATCTGGAATCTCCCGACCCATGCGCGTGGGAAGTGCGCCACTTGCCATCACACCACCACCACCGTCTCAAAGTGCCGCATACATATACTCCAAAAAATAGCCATTGATTTTCACTAGACTCCTTCACTTCAACTGTACTTGAAGCAAAAGTGTTGCTTGCTTCGAGACAATGGGAGAAAACTAACTGTTGCTCGTCTTGAAGCAGTCACTGCTCTGTGCACTGTGCGTCATGAGAATGAGTGGCATCATTGTGGTTGAGGGCGGAGCATTAGGACCGATAGTGGCGCGATTTCAAGACGCGCTAGCCAGTCGCTGTGTTCTCGTTCGTGCGATGTCACGTTTACTACTGTTCCTTGCTCTGCTGGTCATCACCAGTTGTACGATTCGCCACCGAAAGTTCGATCATGGACGACGAAATGTGATGTCGTAAGTACTAAACTGGAACTTTTTTCCTGAAGCTTCTTTAAAATTCACTTTCAAGTCGGGGGTAATAGAGAGGAGTTGCATTGATTTCTGATTGAGATGTGAGCTTGTTGATAGGAATAATTTTGTGTTTCATCTTGCTGGAAAAAGCAACTGTTTTCGAACCCGTAAGAAATGACACCTGTCGCCATATGACCCAGTAGAAAACCGAGGATCAGGCCGATTCGTGAACAATAACCTCATTCCAGTGTACCATTGTCGCGTCAGCCAACACTTCGTGAACGGCTACTTAGCTCTGGAAACTGGGCAGATTATCAACGACAACGAAATCACTATCAAAAGAAATTGTTCGCAAAGTATGAAGCGAACAAACCAGAAAAGCTACACTCATCATCGGAAATTGACGAACTTCTTCGAAATTACATGGATGTGAGCGAATCATATTTTTCCTGTATTATGCCTTTTCTGACTGCGAAATTTCGGACCAGATAGCAGCACATTCTTTGAAGTGGAGGTATCCATTATATACCGCTTCCCAGTCCAACATTTTTCATCATGTTACAAACCCATTTTCGCTCGACGCTATCCACCCTACCCGATTTCTCGAGATTTCACATACTTCTGACATTTTCTGCGAATTTTTTTCCACTCTTTCCCGGACAAATCGCTATCGAGCAAGGACATCATCCCTAATCAAGTACCAGCAGCAGTAGTTGTACAGGGCGCAATTCAATTTCGAGGCAATGGTGGGGGGGGGGGGCTTTTGCAATTTCGCTGTTTATCATCAAAGTTCAGCCATCACGTGGGGACCTGTGAAGTCTTGTGAAGCCATGAAAAAATACCAGACAAAATTTGTAGGGTTCACTTGTCAATTCTTGTAAAGAGTACCTTCCAACTCTTCTAAAGCAATGAAATATGTCATACAAATACCATTTATCAGAGCGTAATTCAATTCGGCGACAAGGGGGGGGGGCTTAGTGGCTCGACGAGCTTGTTCCAGCTTCACAAAAATTCACGGATTCACCAGAGTGAGAATTGGAAACCAGAACGGAAGCAGCCAAAGTGCAAGATGCTCTCCCCGTCGCTGAACTGCGCTGTTCTATGGTATTTCCAGTGTTTTAGTACTATAGCGACAAGTTAGGGAACGGGAGGGAACGAAAACTTTGGTGGCAATACCGAGCAAATTTTCGTCCAGTGGCTTAGAGAAAATTCTTTCAAAGGCACAAGGGCTGTCCCCTCCCAGCCACCAAATACGACCCTCGTGATGTTGTTCTCCCAACAAAGCAGTACTGTGTTTCGAATAACAAATGGTTCCATTTAAGGCCCAGTACTTTGGTACTATTCAAATCGGAACACCAGCACAAAACTTCACAGTTATCTTTGACACTGGTTCATCGAATTTATGGGTCCCGTCTAGAAAATGTCCATTCTATGACATTGCCTGCAGTGAGTTCTTATTTTTATACAGCATATAAAACAATTGTCGGGGCTGTTCGGCTTGGGAAGGTTTTGCACTTTCGTCAATTGCTTTTGCCATAACATGTTAACCAAAACTCGTGTGAATTTGCGAAATAGTACAACTGGTTACATTAATGTACGATTTTCCGCAAGTTGACCTGTACAAGCTTCGCTAAGTACCATTCGGTGCCCTCGCTAAGCCGAACTGTGCCCAGTCGCCTGTTTGTCACGTCAGCTGTAGGTCGACTCTTATCACTGCCTTGGGTAGCAGTCCTGGACTTGAATGACTGATAATAAGAGGCCACTGTCTTGGAAAAACATAAGAGAACATTTGACCATTAGGTGCCTTCAAGTCAGGTGATCGAGCTTTTCCGCTTCGAAATTCGGAAAAACTAGTGTTTTTTTGAAAACTATTTGTTTAAAAGAACAATGAAATAAGAAAACAAAATGAAACATGAAACAAGTGGAGCGGAGGAAACTTACAACAAGCCAAGGACTGGCATTTTTTGCAAGTTTTAGCCCATTTGTTGTCCTTCAGTTAGACAGTTGTAGGAGCACTAGCTAAAAATATAATGTAATGAGACAATAATGTTAGTAATTTGTTCGGACGGAAGTGATAGAGAAGCAGGTGACGCGGCTTGCCATTCACTCGATGTGGGATTCATATCCCAGATCGGCTCTCGCCCCAGCCAAGCAAACTCATTGCCCACCAAGGGCTATTTAATCAAACGCAAGTAGCACGATAAGTTGACAATGCGTACAGGGTCAATAGGCGCAGCACAAAGAGTACTGTACCCCTCAGCAGCCGCTGTATGGCACCTTTTCAAACCAAGGGCTTGTAGCGCCGAACCAGGCTACGACATGCCGACCCAGACGCCCAATCGCAACCACCCGCCCACAATATGGCCGTACAGCTTCATCGACGCTAGTACTCTTATCGCTCAAGTGATGGAGTGCCACTGATATGAAACATTGCTACATGGATAAATTACTCGTGCAGCATCTGCCAAAGTGATTGTTGAAATGGTTCCAGCGGCAACTCGTCCAAAAAGCTGGTCCAATACTATGAAGAACAAAGGTTTTTCGCAGGTTTTGATCACCTGACTTCGCTGTTTCGTCTTCTTCCTACTGTATAGCACTCTTCTTACCATTTTCGAGCAAGTACCAAATTATCGTGCCTCATGCCTCTGAGCCCCGTCCTGCAGGTCTTCACAGTACTGGGATGTTCTTGGCGTACACGCGCCATCGTGACTTAGACTCACTTGGTTTATCAAACGAGAGGTCAGGCTTGTATACGTATCGTACCCTTCTCCCTTCTACTTCCCTAATACGCTCGGAAGCGCGCTAATCTTTTATCGCTTCACAAAAACTGTAAGAAATCCGATGTTAATGTAATTATGTGTTCCACTTCCAAGGATTCTATGAGATGGTGGTCTGGGTCTGCAGGGACGAAGTTTGTGCCCTTTCGCTGCATGAAAGTTCTTAGGAGACGAGTGACAAGCCTATCGAGTGATTCAATGAGGACCATACCTGCCCGATTTGATTTTGTCGCCGTGGTAGGTCGTTGGACCTTTCAGCACATAGTTTTGATCTATCTCCAGCTCTCTTCAATGTTTCCTCACCTGTCTTGTCTGGTAGTTGACTTTACGCAGGTGCTTTGCCGGTGGTCAACATTAGCCGCAAAAAAAAGAACGTCTCGTGAGCGTTGACTCTTTTGCTCTCCTCTTTCACTTACTTACAGGTGAACCCCCCACAGGTGACCCGGCCGTTCTGGCAACGAGACTGTACAATGTGGGACGTGTCTTGAGCCGCTGAATCCAAATCTACCCTCCGTTTTTGCGGAACGATTCTCTGAACGGAGTTATGGGGCTTTTTCCACCGCATTTACCACGCAACAGGTCGTGGGATCGAATCCCTGCTGGGCCTCACTTTTTTGCTTCCTGCGCAAACGTGGCAAAATGTGGTTTTGCTTTCACTACTACTTCAGTGCTCACCTAATCTTGCCTGAAGAAAACTTTGCGTCCATTTATGAATGCGCCTAGGCACCTTGTAGAAGCCTTGTAGTGCAGGAAAATATTGGGGTGCACAGGTGCCCGTCGTGCGCGATACAGGCGTTTTCACGCTCAGCGAGTGCCATATTCGTGTTCAGCGGGTCAAAATACCTTTATACACAAGTTGCTAGCCAAATCTGGCATTTTGACCTGATTTCCATAATTGAACCATCCATGGGTTAGTCACGTGATCGTCACACCTATTCAGCTGCAGATACATTTGCCTGCACAACGCCTTGTCTTGCACCTTCTTACGCATTCATTTTGTTACTGCTCCAGTTTTCCTGGTATATAGAAGAAAATTCCGGCCAAAGACAGGCAATCGACAAGAGACTGGCCCTGGAACTAGTGGTGACCACCATCGGATCAACTGCTAGGACTTTAGAAGATTAGGTCATAACCTTCATCATACTGGCTAGAAACCTGTCCCCAAGGGTAATTTTGCTCCCTGAACACGAATATGGCACCCATTTGACGTTTGAATGCATTCTAGACTTAAAAGAGACATTCCCCACAGAATTAAATGCAACTCCGTTCAGAGAATCGTTCTGCAAATTTCGAAGGCAGATTCGAGATCAGCGTCCAAAACCACGTCTAGTGAACTATATTTCATTACGAATGGCCACTTGGACCTGACGACCTTCCCTAGTAGTAGTGGCGACCTTCTCCATTCCTCGATGCGAGCTCTAGAAACGGTCATTCTCATTGGAGTTCTCATTCAAGTTTTCAGAAGGTGTAACAGATGGAGCAATGATCGCTTCTATTGTCAAATAATCAGAGATTCAAGTCAACTGGCCAAACAGAAGTGTTCTGGGGACTCGTATGGAATGTTCTGAACAAAGCAAAAATGTTCGGAGTGTCAAGGATTCCAACATGCGACATCGTGTTCCTGAATCAGTGCACTTATCCACTAGGCCATCGGCGACCTGCCGTGAGCAACCATCCCTCTCAACTTATACAACGAGCAAAGATTTGATGGTCCGTAACTCCGTTCAGAGAATCGTTCCGCAAAAACGGAGAGTAGATTTGGATTCAGCGGCTCGAGATACGTCCATATACCTACTTCTCATTGCAAATGGCCGGGGATCGACTGTCGCGCGTTCCCTTGTTAGTCAAATAACGCCAATGCTGGCGGTTTTGAAACCCATCTCATTTTCTTGCAATCGCCAAACGTGCCTTCGGATGCTCAGTCCGCATTCTACCCTTCAGTGGTAAGTTTACTTTGCGATCACCTTAGAGGCAGTTGGCACGATGATTTGGTACTCGGCCTAAAATGCTAGTAGGGCGCTATATAGTGGGGAAATGGCGAAAGAACGGAGTGAAACGGTCAAAATCCTGCGAAGAAAAAGCCTCCGTTCTCAGTGACTTGAAAATCAATTTTGGACGAGTTTCCCGTAGGCATCTTGCCAATAACCGCTACCGAAGATACGGCTGCATATGTGTACTCATATATCCATGCAGCATCACGGCCGCTTCATACCAATCCCTTCGCTTCATAATTTGCTTAGCAAATGAATCGATTAGAGCGTCAGGAACGGTCGTCCATTTGTGGGCGGGCGGGCGTGGCGGGCGTTTGGGTCGGTATGTTGTGGCTTGATAGGGCCCTTATAAGGGCACCTTCCTTGGGAAAGGCATTATGCAGCGCCTGCTCAGGGTCGCGGAATTCCGTCCTGCCAGGCGTATTAATCCTACTCGTCTTGGAGGATCTATCGTGCCAAGTGCCTTTAAGACAGCCCTTGTCAATCTCGCTATACCGTGAGAGTTTGATGATTGAAGGGCACCTGTTGCAAATCTATCCTTCTTTCGTTCTGACCATGAGAAGATAAGCCTAATTGTACGGAAAACGCAACGATATAAAGTAGTGAGTAAAAGAACAGTTCAGCACAGTTCGGCTAGGTGGATGCACTGACAGGGTACAGCATCGTTGTGTGAAATATATAGGAGGTCTTACTTTTAGGCTGGGGGGGTCGTATCTGATTGGCAGAGGGGGGTCGTATGTGGCTTTGACAGAAATTTGCCGCGTTGCGAAAAAAATTTTCCCCGTTGTTGACTTTTCGCGTGATTTCCTCAACGGAAAATATGTGAGTGGAAAACTGGAAAATGTGGGGAAATTGCTAGGTAGGTGCTGGGGAAGGAGGGGTCGTACCGATACCTGATTTGGGTGAGGGGGGGGGTCGTACCAAGACCTTCCTTCGACCTTGGACGGGGAGCCGTACTGGCACCACCATTTCACACATCACGATGCTGTACCCTGTGCACTGAACGGTCAACAGAGCCATTACAGACCACTTTGTGAGTACCTGTACGATCCTGCTATCAAAGTAACTCTTTCATCCATTTTGCAGCTACACAAAAGCTTACGTTATTTAACGACAAGAAATATGACGGGAGTTGAAAATGCCCCCTTCAAGCCGAACAGCGCCGAAGCTGCCGTACAGTAGATTTCCGGAGCGCTGTAGAACATGTGTGTTGCGGATTTCTCTTCTGTTCCAATCTGCAAAAAGAAAAGGCCGTAAAGGAGCGTGAAGCACAATCATGGTCGACTTTTCCAGAGAATGTTATTGGCTCTGGACGGCATCAGTGGTGGAAAAGGCTGTCGTAGCTGCGATCTAGTCCACGCCCTCTCGTTTGTGGGTAGAATGACTGTAACTATAAAATGAAACACCCTTCCCATCTCCGGAATATGTACTGTATGTACGTTCCGATAAAAAAACAAGACGGGGGCGTCAGTTTGGTGTGAATATTTCGGAAAGATCGTTTCCGATCTCACTCATAACGCCAAATGACCCCTGTGCAAAACGTTATATCAGCTCAGATCACAGACAGATACTATACTGCGGCGTTTCCATGACCGGCTGTCTTTCTTCCTAACAGTCGATCCTACGCCGATCGACCATTAGTCGGAGCTAACGTCGAGCGGGGGGTCATACCCGCCACTTTTCACCGTCCGGTGACTCGAGGTGCGATGTTTGCAAACCATCGATTGTTCTGCTATGGTTAGAATGTTTCAAGAATCAGCTTTTCGATCTCAGAAGTCGTTACTTTCTTCGTAAGCGTACACTTCATCACCTCGGTCAAATAAAAGTCGTCGACAGTTGCCACGACTGAATTTCAACACTTTTCAAAATCGAGCCCCAACCCGGCCCCGGGCGCGCTTTGCTATATCCCATATCGGCGCCAAACACGTGCTATGGGCCCACTTCCCGCGGAAATGAGTCCGCTCTGGCACCTTCCCCTGCCAATGGAAATCGCGTTAGTGTGTCAGATTAGAGAAGGCGAACAGGCCAGTGGGCGAGAAAACGCCAGGGTTGAGCTTATCCAATGCGCTTCATCGAAAACTGACTGCGGCAATATCAACTATATATTGATTCAGTGAACAGCTTTCACACTTCTCCGCTGCTTATTTGAAGCGACTACTCGCTTCTGATCCTCCCTTATATGGAACTCCGCCCCTTATTTGGAATAATTTAGTGCTGCATCATCGCTATGACTCTGGTGCTTCATCAACATACAAGGAAGATGGACGCAAAATGGCTATCCAGTATGGAACTGGGTCGATGAAAGGATTCATTTCAAAAGATAGCGTCTGTGTAAGTGAGAGAACACAACTCATCAAGTTTGAATGCGGGCTCAGCCTTTAAGGGGCGTACGACGGTGTACACTTTATTGCAAATGGCAGGACTTACCTGTTGACTTTCCTTGGTTAGCAAATAAATATGTGCACCAAGTACAGTCGCCCATTTGTGGGCAGGCGGGCGTCGGGGTCGGTATGTTGCAGCTTGATGGAGCGCTATGAGAGCACTTTCTTTGGGAAGGGCGCTACGCAGCGCCTGCTCAGGGGCGCGGAACTCCCTACTGCTGAGCGTATTAATCCTACTCGTTTTTATAATTCACAGTGCCAATCGCTTGAATATACGGGTGAGGTTGTTCACGCTTCACAAAATCGGAGTATGGTGCTGTCCCGGAGTCTCATTTCTTATCTGAGTGTGTAACAACAATGTGAAACTCCAAAAGTTTATTCCAAAAAACTCAAAAGACAGTGAAAGTCTCAAAAGTTTGTTATAATATATCTTAACTTGCAATATTTCGGTGCGTAGCACCTTCGTCAGGCCTGAAAATATTTAGCTTGTTTTGTTGGTTATACCTTCTACAAAGTGCAACCCGCACGGACCCCACCCCCACCAAGCCACTTACCAGTTGTCCCGAAATAAATGACCAACCCACCCCAACCATGCCCTTAAATAGTGGGATACTTGTGGCGCGATCACATTATCACTTGCATGATGTCACGTAGCTCCTCCCTTTTGTTTATTTCGGGACAATTGGTAAGTGGCTTGGTGGGGGTGGGGTCCGTGCGGGTTGCACTTTGTAGAAGGTATAACCAACAAAACAAGCTAAATATTTTCAGGCCTGACGAAGGTGCTACGCACCGAAATATTGCAAGTTAAGATATATTATAACAAACTTTTGAGACTTTCACTGTCTGTTTTTTGGAATAAACTTTTGGAGTTTCACATTGTTGGTACACGCTTTACAAAATAGTTTCTTTGTTTAGGTAGCTGGAATTTGCGCTGAAGAACAACCGTTCGCTGAGGCAACCAGCGAGCCTGGCCTCACCTTTATAGCAGCAAAATTCGACGGCATTCTCGGCATGGCTTTTCCAGAGATCGCTGTTCTTGGTAGGTTCTCGTGTGACTTATGCAGAAATATGGGCTTTCGTTCGTATTCCACGAAAATTCCTGTTTGATCAATGACGCCAGCGCTTAATAACTATTTGCAAACAGCACATGCAAAGCGGTCGTGGAAATCGCTGAGCATTCGTAGCAAATTTTCCCCTGAAAAAGAGTTATAAAATAAGTACTATAAGCCATTTATCTGCTGAAATACCCAGTGAACGCCACGTGGGCGGTTAGAACAAAATTAGCAAACGGCTTCTTACGCAAGTTGTGATGCAAGAAAATATAAAAATACGAATACAGGCAGAAGAGAAGGCCGAAAACTGTCCTCGTTCCAGTACGAGCGAAGAGCTGCTCTCCCCAGAAGGAGATCAGAGAGGCTCGTCCTCAGGTCATGGTTCATTGTTCGGAACACAACGAGACAACAATGTAGAGGCCTGGACAAGTACAATCACATTCCGCTGTTGCAATTTGTGGTGTGGAGAAATGGAGTGTGAAGAAACAGAAATGCAAGTGGTGGTTGACTTACACTTGCGAAGAAAGGAAACGAACAGATAAGGCACTCAACTACATATAAGCGAGAGGCGAAGGGCTACAGGAAACATCAGACAGGGGAGAAGCTGCCAGGATGTCCTTATTTTTTGTTTTTTTCCTCCGTTGGAAAGTCGTTCAGCAATTATAAGTTCCCAAACTAAACACCACTAACCACAATATATCGCGGTATGTCTTTAAAGGCAGCGTCCGCGATCAACCAAAGTGAAAAAACCCTCCATTGAAAACGAACGCGGAGTCCGCAATCACAGCAGAAATCCCACTCTTGCGGCTCGAAATCGATTGGTTGACGAGGGCGGAGTCAACAGAGCCGGGCTGACGCCTCCTGTCCTGTTAATCCCGACTGGATGACAGTTATCAGTGCTTTGTTGCAGTCGATATACGCTTTGATTTCTAGAGTTCCGACGGCGGCACCGTGTGTTTGGAGAATCACTCAGGAGTTTTCACCAACGCGAAAGCTCGGTCCACATGCCTTAAATTTCATAGGGTCTTATTTCACGCTCTTCCACACCTTTTTCCTGCTTTTTTTGATTAGTGCTTCATTGGCCACCTGTTCTAGCAAATGTGACCCCTGAAACCTGCCAAAGTCCATCGCGGGCGCTGTCTTTAAGCAAAGCCCTCCATCACATAACCTCGTCATCCGGGCAGTTGATTAGGGCGGTCGCCAACGGGCCGCAGCGCGTGCCAGGAACTATTTGCTTTTTCCAGGCTAATTTAGTCATTTTTTCCAACTTTTCACTGTTTTGGCTACTTTTTCCCAGATTAGCAGCTCCTTATCTTCACAAGGTGGAAAAATGACTAAATTAGCCTGGAAAAAGCAAATAGTTCCTGCGCACCGCGCTGCGGTCCGTTGACGACCGCCCTAATCAACTACTGCCCGGATACGAGGTAAAAATAATAACAGGGGGGGGGCCAAAAAAAAGTCATTTTGCCTCCATGACTTTCAAGGCGCTATAAGTTACACTTTATTAAATTTTTATCGGACATTTTACTACCATATTAAAGAGCACATTAAATACTATAATGATACTCCGCCACAGCCTTCTGGAGGAGCGCCATCGAGAGATTCGGCCGCGAATGAGTGTGGTACCGAGTTGAGCGAGATCGTTGATCGTTCTCACCACACCATAGACCACGCTTCTTGAATTCGCCCGAAACGGGTAATTGAGTGGGTTCAGGTCAGGGGACATACTTCAATATTACATCTTCTTCAGGTACGAAACGCCCTTCCATTCGAAGTAGGCGGGAGTTTTTCCAAAACCCTTTGATTCCATGTGGTGGCACCCAAACCTGTAGCAGCACAAGGTCTCCAAGAAGGTACGGGCGACCACATGTAGGGAGGATATTCTTCTCGAGTTACTTGATGTAACCGCCAGCGCTCACCTTCAGTCGGGGTCTACAAAGAAAATATCGGTCTTCCCCTCCATGTACCCCGCGTCCATCACCATCAACTCAGCGCTCTCCGAATACGGTGAAGATGATGTCCTAGACCGTAGCGACGTTGGTACTGGTCGATGTGGGAGGTCTTGCAGATCAAGAGTACTGACCTCCAGGTAGCTATCTGTGGATGACTTCATTCAAGAAGTTTCGCAGCTGTTTGGAGGCGACGTGAATTCCAAAGGTGTTCTCCAGTCAGGCCGCGACTGGAGATGACTTCATATTTTGATTACATGGAGGAGATTGGCGGCAGCCTCCTCCAGCTTATAGAGAAAGATCTTGATTTAAGTCA